GTGATTAAAAAGCCTGCTCAGTTCAGGTGAAATGTTTTAGATCAAGCAACATCCTTGTTCCGTGCCCTGATTATGACGGGAGGAGTGCCCCTTGAGTAGATTTAGGTTTTAGCAACTTCGCGTCCAGAATTCTAACACTGCTAGAACTTGACCTCATAGCACAATTTCTTTGGGAATCTATAGAAACCAGAGGTCATAGAACTAATTCACAAAAGCTAAGCTATATATCAACAATAGTAGCAAGCACAAGATGACAGCCGAACTCCAAGAAATGAAAGAAATAAAATGTTTAAATGTAAATTTGGCACAGCAATTGAGACTCCACTTGCAATGCCTAGGTCCAATTCCTGGCTTCACATTCTCTCCAGCTCCCTGTTGCAGTCTACCCTGGGGCGCAGCAAGTGGAGGCTGCAGTCTCCAGATCCCCACCAGCTTTGTGAAGCCCTGGGTTGAGTCCTGGATCCTGGCATCTGTTTGGCCCATTATCATTGATCTGTGGAATACACTAAGAGGTCGCAGATCTCTCTTGCTCTAAGTCTCTCTCTTGGGCACTCTGCCTTTCAAATAAAGTAAAATAAATCATTTTTAAAAACTAAAAAATGTATTACTCTAAACATTAAATCATTCAAGAACAAAAACATGCTTTGGCTCCCAGGTGAGTTTAATATGTGAGATTAGTGATACCATTTCAATTGAGGTAAATCAGTTGAAACCTGAGCTGTATTAAAAAATTTTACTCTTTCTTTCCAGAATGAGTAGAGTGAGCTTCGACACTCAATAAATTCCCAATTTGTCTCTATTATGTTGAATCCCTTGATGACAGGATGAAACAAGATTAGACAGCTTTTTGGTTTTATCAGATAGATTCGATTTCCCCAACAGCCATAATGACTGCTGTAAGCTTAAGTGAAAATCATGCAGTTGAGTTGGCATTAATTCATATTTACAATTTTACTTGAACCCTCTTTCTGTGTTCTCAACAATTAATTCTCAGTAGTCTTTTGGAAGAAGTAAAATAAAAAATAAGCTGCATTTAATCTTTATAACATGAAAGGCTACCATAGAATACACTGCCATAAATATATTTCTTTAAAATCTCTCCCTCACCCAGGAACATGCCTTCTGTTTTGACACATTGACCATGGGTTCCCCAAAGTAACTTAGCCATCCATAATTTAAGACTAGACTTCAGGACATAAATGTGGTTAAGGGAAAACATATTTCAAGGTCAGTTAGTGGCAACTACCCTCAGGTTCTCGTTCAGACAGTAAAATGCTTGTTCTCGGGCCTCAGACCTCAAAGAATGCCCACTGGAAACCGACACACAACTCTCCAACAAAGATCAATGAGACCATCTTCAACTTCTGTCCTTCTTGGCCTGGACAGGTTTATTATCTGAAGCAACATATCCCATTTGCCAAAAATATCCCTAATTTCTTTCTCTTTACTTGACAATTACTTGAAGCTTTCTTTAACATCTTAATATTAACTTGGATTTTATTAATTGAATAAGTTAAAGTCATGAGCTTCATGCTTGGCATGGCATTTTTGAGACTGTTACTTTTTAACTTAGCAAAAGAGCATTAAAGTTCAGGGTTAAAATATCCACCAGCATCATAGCTGGTCATGACATAACTGTAGCATTTGTTAAGCTCCCACTATAGCAATCAGGGTATCCTCAGAATCCCGAAACTACCATGCAAATCAAAGACACAGTGTTACTTGGACAAGTGGATGCTTCCACAGAAGGGCTGTGTTCCCTGAACCCTGGAACTGTTCGAACAAAATCTCTCGATGTGCTCTCTGCCAGCGCAAATCTCACATTGTCTTTTTGTGGGTTATTTAAAACTCTTCTTGTAAAGATGAAAGCATTCAGTACTGAGATTGTTTTACTCTTGTGCAAATTAAAATAGAAAAAAAGTAAAGTTAGCTAGCCATAGCTGCACAGCAAAATTGTGGTCCTTTATTCTAAACCCTCACAGCTAAGGAAGGAGACGCCAGGAGCCGAGGTCAGGCAGACACCACTCCTGTCAACTGTTTAGCATGTGTTGCACTCATCGTTACATCTCTTTTTTACTTAATTTTCTAATTTCATAAAGAGAAAATTTTCAGATATTAAGACCACTAACACTTCTTACCCTTCCCACATTCCTTTACTTGCTCTTCTTCCTTCCTTCCGTTTTAAATTTTCTTTAACTTCTGCCCTGACATACTTTTTTTCTTCATATATATACTTCATATATATACATTGCATTGGCTACTACATAGCACGGAAGACATGTTACATCTGCCTTTTTGTTGCTGGTTTATTTCACTGAGCATAACACTTTCTACTTGCATTCACTTTGTTGCCAAAGAGAGGATTTCATTCACTCCATCATGTATTTAGACACCATATTTTCTTTATTCAGTCATTAACTGATGAACATCTGAGTCGATTCTGTATTTTAGCTGCTGTAAATGTAGCTGCCCTAAACATGGAGACATGAGTAACATGTGCATCTGCTAAGTGTGTCCGCGCCTTGTCAGAAGCTAGATGTACCTGTGTTGATCTTCATCTTCGGGATTACTGGCACTAAGTTATTTTCTGAAATTGTTCAAGACTGCCTTTCTTAAGGCTGTTACCAAAATAAATAAATAATAAAGAGCTGTGTTTCGGCAAAATTTTAAGTATCATGATGTATCCTGGGGACTCTATTTTCGGTTTTCCAGGGTACCACAGTGTTCTCTAACTTTGTCTCCTATTTAGTCAACTTGTGGCTTCAATTTCATCCCCTATCATTAAGGTTTGTGCCTGAAGAATTTGGATTTAGTTCCACCCTAGTTAGAATAAATTTAAAGTCTTTCTTTTCCTGAGAGAATTAGCCATTCCTTTTGTTAGTGAAGTGCTAAATTTTGTCACACTAACGAGGGTCTTAATGGAGTCTTTAATGGGCCTGGGTAGCCAAAGTCCAGCAGTTGCAGCATTTTTGGCTAAAAAAAACCTGGAAAGATATTTAAAACCAGCCAAGCCGAGAACCAGTCGCTCTCAGGCCATCTGCCAGTTCACACATCTCCCGAGAAGTATTTCCTGTCAATAGTTCAGGCATCTGTCAGTTATGGAGGTGGATGTTTTTCTAGAGCAGCAACTGGGCACTGTCTAGCTACTTCAAAAAGAACAAAGGGAATTTTCACCACAAAAAATCACTTTGAGAATTCTACTCGGTGAAGTTTATTACAGCAGAGGAAAGTAGTAGGGCAGGAAGAAACAGTGAGGACTCTACAGAGAGGCATAGCAAGCTAATCCTGTGCCTGTGGGGCTGGCGTCTCATAGGGTGCAGATTCTAGTCCTGGCTGCTCCGTCACATCCAGTTCCCTGCTCACAGCCTAGGAAAACAGTAGACAATGACCCATGTGGGAGACCCAGGAGAAGCTCTTGGCTCCCAGGTTCAGATCCATCCAGCTCTGGTTATTGCAACCATTTGAAGAGTGAATCAATGGATGGGCTCCTGTGCCTATGCAGGAGACCTGGAAGAAGCTCTAGGCTTCTGGCTTTGGCCAGGCACAGCCTCAGCTTTGTGGCAATTTGGGGAGTGAACCAGAAAATAGAAGATTTTCTCTCTCTCTCTTTCTGTATGTTTCTGTAACCCTGCTTTTCAAATAAATAAAAAATAAACTTTAAAAAATGTGCATTTTCCAAACATAGTAGTTTTGAATTATCTGGTGAGTATCTTGTTACCTTGTTATTCATTTAATTATTTATGCAGACCTAAAATATTTCGATTTTGACTACCAACGAAAGTGGCAAAGAAAGTTTTATCTAAGCTTACATGCATATACTTAATTTTCCTACTCTCCTACTGTAGCAAGTTGGAATGATCTAGTTACTTTTAGATAGGATATGTCTGTGGAATTGACTGTTGCTAGAATTTGCTTTTCATCCTTGCAGAGCTCTTGAATCACGATATATTGCGGAATCTTCACGTTGGGAAAATATTCTTTCTCACACAATAATGGGAGAAATTCTTTTTCGTTGTAGGAAAATCCTCACAAGACTTCCTTTAGAGATGCTGCAGTAAGGCCAGTGATGAGAAAGTTGTCCCAGGCAGTGAATCATTTTGTTAAACTCAGGAATGAGTTTAACAACATCCAACATCCAGGAGGCAGTGGTGGCGTTTGCATGAGTGTGCTTGTGTTCTTGGTGCTGCCTGTGCAGGTGCACTAACTTGATGTTCACTTTTGGCTCATCTTGACCTGTGGACACTGTAACATAGAAGAGAAATATCAAGGCAGGAGGGGTCAGGGAACTGGAAGAAACAGCAAGTGACAGCACTTCTTTAGTCAGGAAAAATATTAGCAGAATACCACCAGCTTGACCTCCAAATTATGATTCCTGTTGAAGATGTGGGAAAAAAATATATTGTACTGTGCAGACAAGCACAGCAGAGCTGCCACGGGGCAGCAGAAGTCTTGGTGTTCCACAACAGTGCCACTGTGAACAGTGCTTGTGAAGTGATGATTCTAAAGCAAAGGTTTTTGAAGGGTGTCATGTCAATAGTTAAATGTTTTGGAACAAGCAGGTATATTTTGCATGCACATGATAGGAAGCACACTCAGCATTAGACTCATAATACATTCCTAGGCTTTTTCCTTGCATCAGCTACTTGCAGTTGCAGCCTCTTTCCAGTATACCTACTTGGGGGTTTTCTATCCCCTGCCAGCATTACCCTTCTAATCCCAACAGGCTCTTTATATTCTGCTTATCAAGTCTAGAGCCTAATGCTCTTCAAGTTCTGCTGCTGTGGCAATGACCATCATGCTTCATTTTAAGGGACCTGGTGTGAAAAGATTTGCAGTGAGTGAAATAATAGAGGCACCCTCATTCCTGAAGCTGCTTTGTTCCAGTTATCAGAACTACAGAATCAAGGCTTTTGGTATTTTAACCTTGAGAAGTACATTTTTGTTATGATTTTTCCATCATTTTTTCTATTAAAATACAACATACTCATTTTCTTGCACAGGCCCAGCAAGACCATCACTATGACCGATGGGGACTATGATTATCTGATCAAACTCCTAGCCCTTGGAGATTCGGGGGTCGGAAAGACAACGTTTCTCTATAGATACACAGATAATAAATTCAATCCCAAATTCATCACTACAGTAGGAATAGACTTTCGGGAAAAACGTGTGGTGAGTTAACCTCATTTACTATCCTCTATAAAACAAGAATGAAATGGTATGTTTCTTGTTTTGCAAAGAGGCTAATATCACATGAAATATATCATTTGTCATTTTAATTTTCCTTGGAGTATTATTTACTATTTTCAATGATAAATAGCATATCTCCAGAAAAATATTGAGTGACACCAGCTCTTGCCTCCAAACGCATACTCAACAACTAAGATCAATAATTGTGAGATTTGGGTAGCGTGTGTTCCATGAGTCTTAAGGAACATTTCAAAGTTTTCATTTTTCAGGATTTAAGGATTAACTTTCTGACCTGAGTTAAATTCTTCAAGAACACCAAGTATTCCTTTGCTTCCTCTTAACAAAAAGGTTAAACATATGATTGACAAATAGCTGGAACATGAGCTTTATCAGCTCTTACTGCGTTTTTATTTTTGTGTAGATTCAGCTGTCAATCACTGGCTTATTATGAACAGAATGTGAGACCAGCCAAGCTATTTTCCAAGATAATGGCGTTTAAGTGAGAATCGCAGCCACTTCCTTCTGCGCTAGACGCTAATGACAGTGACAAGGGTATTGTGACATGCAAGACATGTAACATAGACACGGGCGCACAGGCTCAGCCAGGTCGATTGCCACCCACAGTACACTTGACTGCCAGCTTGGCTCTGGCTTCCAGTGGATGTCATGAATCTACTCATTGCTTGAGAGCTGGAAACAAAGGAAAGGCTTGTTGGAAAAACGCTACATAAGAAGTTGAGTCGTGGCTTCCATAATAGCCCGTGCCTACGTGAAAGCAGATACGTGGCAGTATAGTCTTAGCAGACTTGGTCTGTCTCAAGTTGCTCCTCTTTCCCCCACAGTGTCCATATGGATCTGGATATACGTACCTGCAAAATTTTCCCTGTAAAATATTTTTACTTAGCCATACTTGGGCAGCTAATTGAATATTTAAATTCTCATATTTTGCTCAAAATGTAAAAAAAATGGTACTTTTTTCTAAAAGAAAAAGTACACTCATCTAAAAAAGAAACTTTAAAGAAATAGCTAGTAAAGGAAATCTTGAAATGTCCTGTGTCAACTTTTTCAGAAATTCTGTGCATAATTCATGACTAAGTCATTTCAAACGTCCATTTTACAGTAAAAGCCATTCAGTTATTTGTAGAGCAGCTTGCTGTTTTAAAAATTCTCTCCCATCTGTTATTGCTTTTGAGTTTGAAGTATATAATACTCCATAAAATAGGAAGATTCTATGGATCTCAATGTGTAGGTTTAAAAGTAAGATTCAAAGAATATAAATGAAAAGTTGTATTTAAACTCAGAATTTGGGTCCTAATGGTGATGTTGGCTCCTCTGTGAGAAAATGACAGGAGGTGAGGTGTCTAATCCAAGTTTGGGCAAGCTTAAATTTTGTTGAAAATCATACTTGTACTTGACATTTAGAAGTGAGAGTGTATGTGATACTTCCTGAAAGAAATAGAGCAAATATTTATTCTGTACTATAAACTTTGATTATAGTAATCAAGAAAAACATGTTGAAGGAACCTAAAAAATTTGAATGTGGACAAAATCCAAAGCAACATTAACAGATAGAAATGGTGTCTTTCAGGTTTATAATACACAAGGACCAAATGGATCTTCAGGGAAGGCATTCAAGGTACATCTTCAGCTTTGGGACACTGCAGGACAAGAACGGTAAGAATCAATCGCTGAGTTTCTAACCCCATTGAGTTTAGAACAACCTATGGTAAAGTGAATAACAGATGCAGACTTAAAAGGACATGAGATGGAACTCTTTGATTTCAAGATACACATTTAAATTAAATCATCCATAGATGCCTAACCATTACTAACACTATGTATTTGGTACAGATTTAAAAAATCAGATTTTCAAAGCTGTCTGTGAAGACTCTTGTTATGCCTTGTCTGTAGTTTTCAGGAATAAGGAAATTCTCCAGAGTACAACCAATTGAATACAGGAAATGAGCACTGGTGATGTACTACTGAAAGAGAGAGTCAAAGGGATGGCACTGAAATCTTTCCTTGCTTCAGTTCTGCATAGCCACTTGACCATTGTCATGTGACCGGCTTTGTCCTCTCAGGGTTCGAGCACATTATTGTCTTCCAGCTAGACTCGTACTTCCCTCCGACACACCGGCCCTGACCCTCTCATTCCACAAACTTTACTTCGAATTCCACCCTGTCTAGGAAGATTTACCCTAAGTAAAGCAAACTTACATTTTCTTCTGAATTCCTGTGACAACTCTTATCCTCCTTAGATTGCTACATTGAAATCATCGCTTTCCATTTTAATGTTATTTATAACCCTAGGCTACATTTTTGCTGAGCTGGAGTATTTTTGCGTTTTGCCCATTAAACTCTATTTACTGGAGCATTAAGCCCTTAACTGTGCAAAATAAATGCGTATTATCTCAAAAAATGAATGGGAGAAGGAATAAAGGTTAAATGGAAGCAAGAAGAGGGAGAAAGGAAATATAATAATTCTTAAAACTATATCTTAATTCTATCAAATCTATTAAAGTGAAAAAATTTAAATGAATAGATTACATATTACCTAATAGTAAGAGAATGTTCTGTTTTCTAACTACTAGTTAGGACTTACCTGTCCTTCTCATTTCAGCTTTGTATGAGCAGACAGCCTGATTTTTTTTAGCCATTCTTTTTCCTACAATGTCCAAGATGACAACTGTACAGTAGACAGTAATGTTAATGACTTAGAGCTGGAGGTACCAAGCCATTATTCAATGAAAATAGGTTTTCTCAGGCCACAAGGTTGCACCCTGCTAAAGGCTCCATAAAATAAAGCTTTTCAGTAGTAGATGACATTAAATATGGCAATGGATTGGCAGAGCAGCTATTTGGAAGCACCTCGAAGTTCTGCATCGTATGTCTTAGGATGCTTATGCTTGTAAACACTTGCCTTTTTGAAATGCATCCAAAATGTTCTCACTTTGACTAAGTGTAAGTGCCAGGAGAGGTGCTGGGCCCTCTCTGTTAGCTTTACTGTCTGTGAATCCATTTACACACACCCTTCAAAACTGCCGGTCCCACTGCACTCATTCCTCGCAAGAATCTCTGTTCATATGTCAGTTTTGTTGTCACAAAGATGTATGTTTTACAGACCAATTTAATCTATTTTTGAAGAAGTAATCTGAGAAAATGTGAGCCCCATATGTGCTCACACATGATATGTCAACCTAGTGTGATGGCAGGCTTCTCTCATCTGTCCTCTTACGACAGCTGTGCCATGAGGGAAATGGGAAATCCTAGGGACAGTCTTCGTCAGACTTAGATTATTCACCCCTTGAGAATTGTGCATTCTGTGTGTTAAGATGTAGCTAGGCAACAAGAGAAACAGCACCTCACACCTCAGTCCTTGGCCTGAGGACATCTGACAGAAGGATCCATATAAAGTCATGGTTACAGATGAAAACCACATCCTAGGAAGGACCTACAGAATACAGAACACTGCCTTAGCTCTTGGTGAGGGAGACAGACTGATTAGGTGACTCTGGGATCTGTTTCTTAGAATGGTCCCAGCTTTTCCCTACCCTATGCACCTGTGTGTCAGAATGACATAGGGAGATGGACCTGGAAGTTCATGATTTCCTTCCCTCCCCCAAAAGAGCATAAGATGATAACAAGGATGGTGGGAAGAATGGTACAATGTGTAGCCTACTATGCAGCAGGAGGACCCTATCTACTGCTGTGAATGGAAAATCTATCCCAATAGATCCCTGCAAAGAAACATTTTTGCAGGTCTGCCATGTGCTGTGGCAACAGGAGGGGAGATAACACCTATTTGACCCTCAAGATACACACACACACACACACACACACACACACACACACACACACACACACCCCAGAGAGTCCAAAGCAGTTTTCTGAGTTATGGCACATTGTGGTTGAGTAGGAGACAATTTTGTGGGCACAGATCATCTCCAAATTGAGCCATTCAATATAAGTGCTATGATCTCTCTGAGTTTCCAAGATAGAAACCAATCCACAAGAAACCACAGATGAGTCATTTTTCTTATTTCTCACTGTATATTTTTAGATTATTATAGTGCCCTGCAGTCGAAATTCTACTTCAATATAAATAGTAGTTAGTATTTCTTCTCCCTCTTTGATATTCAAATAATTCTTTGTTGAAGTCATTTTATGTTTTTAGCTATTTTGTATTTTTTACTACCCAGTTCCTCTATATCATCACTAATGCACACTTCTTCATACACAGTCATATGTCCATCATTACGCGCATGGACAATGGCAGGGAGTCCAGAATCCTATTGTCAAGATATAGTAAACTGTTTCATTGAAAGTCCATCTTTGGAAGTAGAGATGCATACTACATTGTATCCTCACATCTGGATGTTAGTCTCCATTTCACAACTTCTGTACATCCCCCCAAATGAAAAGCCACAATACAAAATCAACAATAGAAAGAAAAATAGAAATTTACAATGCCGTAAAGTTAAATGACATGTTACTAAATATAACAGTCTCCATTACACAGCTACTATACATCCCCTTAAATGTAAAGCGACAAAACAAAGTCAGCAACAGGGAGAAAAAAGAAATTAACAACGCCAAGAAGTTAAATAACATGCTATTAAATGACTAACGTGTAGCTGAAGAAATGAAAATCAAGAACCTTCATCTCACAAATATTTAGTAAGCAAACACAAAGTTCTGAGACATAACAATAATATATTAGAAACACAACTCTTATCCCCTTATCACTCATAGTTGAAGATGCAGTTTGGACAAATAATTGCAAGACAGTCTCGGAGCACTAAACAGAAGACAAAAAGTTACAGATAGGTTCAATAGGAAGGGCCTGTGTCCCACATGTGTCTATTGGGAGGATTCCTTATAACTCATATACAATGTAGGAGTAAGCATTATCAAGACTAAAGAAAAGTAGAGAAGAATTAAGGTAAGTTTACACACAGAAAGAACAGCAGGTGTCAAATCCCAGGGTAGCGAAGTAAAATTTCCAGGAACTGAAAGATCAGTATGCTTATGGGTAGTCACGATGTGAAGCTGGATAAATCAGCAAGGGTCAGTTCCTGCAGAGCCCTTGACTACTTACTAAAGAGTGCAAGTTTCATCTTAAGGATAATGTAAAATTAAAATGTTTTAATAGAGGATTAATAACTAATCAATGGTTGTCTAGAGTTCCCAAAAATTAGACCGGAAGCCTAATGACAAGTGTGTTGACATTATTTAGCAGAGATGATGAGCTTAATGTCAGAGTGGAGGCAAGAGTAAATGGGCAGAAATAAGGTCCAGAGCTCAGTGTTGCATGGGTACAGCAGATGAAGGAAAAAAGAATGTGGCAACGAGGAGGAAAGGTATGTGATTATCAGAAAAAGAAACCAAGAAGAGGGAACAAATTCGGTCTTTATTGTATGAAGAGTTGAAGGTGCCCAAGTTTTCTGCAAGCAAAAATACCCAACAAGTATTTAGACATACAGTGTGTAAACAGGACAGATCTACACATACCATATTCCTCAGTATCGCATGGGCGATAGAGTTGAGCCAGGACAGTGGGTGAGAGCAACCAGCGATATGTGTAAAGTGAGAAGGGCCAAGAACAGAACCTTGAGGAAAGCAACACAAAGTTTCTACAAACAAGCTAAAACAGGAGACTGAGAATTTAGAAGCACAGCTAAGAGAGGAAATAATCATCTGCCCTTTTTCAAAACTAGTGCCTTTCTTTTTCATTTTAAAATTATTTTTATTATTTTCCATGATACGTTTTTGTAAGTGTAGGAATTCCCCCTTAGTTTTCCCCTTTTTGCTCCGACTTTTGCCTTTCTGCCAGTTTCCCTCACGTATTCCAGTAGTCCTTGAGTAACAGTTACAAGTTTAACATTCTGCTATTTAAGCACATTACATAATTGTAGGTATAGAAAATGTAGGATCATATTGTCAAGGCAGAGCTAGCTGTTTCATGCAGAGTCCTCCTTTTATTCAGGAGTAGAGATGCCTGCCACATATCATCACTTCCCGGTATGCTAGTCTCTGTTACACAGTTCATCTGACAGTAGTGTATCTATTTGTTTTGTATGAATGTTGTTTTGTATCTATTTGTTTTGCATGAATGTTGCCTTATATCAGAGAGAACTTAGGATATTTGTCTTTTGGGGATTGGCTTATTTTAGCTAAATGCATTTCTAAGAATCCATGACCACATTCCACCTTTGATCCTGTACGTAGTCTGTTTTTGCCCAATGCTGATGTTAAAGTGGATCTCAGCGCATGTTTCATAAATGATGTTAGTGGACATAAATAGGAAAGGGCACAGAACATCTTTATGTACATTGTGCATGATGGAACAGATCCTCCAGATTCCTCAACAGAAATGAACAACCCACTGTGTTCCCCCAAGTCCTAAGCTGTGAAATGACACAGCTGGTGTGAACCTCCCAGAGATGGTGAGCTGATGCTGGTCCATGCCCTTTAGCTGCCAATATAATGAGCTAAAAACAAACAAACAAAAAAACTCATCTTTACAGGAAGCCTCTACCATGATGAAAAGCTGAGTAACACACCAATTCATATCTGAATCTTCCCTGATGCTTTAATTATTTTCATGATCAATCCTCCATTCCTGCATGATAATTGGTTAGGACCTGCCATGCAGCCTTCGTCTTGGAAAGGAAGCAGTGCTGTCTGCCTAGCCATAAGTGTCAGAACTAACCTTCAGAACCTCCCGCTGTGCTTTCCTGGCAGGTTCCGGAGCCTCACCACTGCATTTTTTAGAGATGCCATGGGCTTCTTGTTGATGTTTGACCTCACCAGTCAGCAGAGCTTCTTGAACGTCAGGAACTGGATGAGTAAGTGAGATTGAGTAATATGGCAAATGTAACATTGGAAACCAGATTACCTTTAGAAAATGAGGTTTTCTGTTCACGATTGCCTTTGTGTCAGTGGCTGGGAGGTATATTTCTTTGACACTCTTCTCAGAGGCAGTTGGTATGACTTTATCATCTCCTGTTGTTAAGGTCGTTACTGTTATTCTTCAAAGGCCATTCATCTCCCGTGTTAGTTCATCTTAAAGGACTTAAAACTGAATCCCATATCTGTTACCTCAAACCTGGAGGGGGCACAGTGAAAATCACGAGTGATTTTGGAGATGGAACATTGGCACTTAAGATGTAAGATGTAAGTGCACTTAAGATTGGCACAAGGACTAATGTATTCACTAGACAATAAAGTACTCCAGAGTGGGCATGTTAGGTGAGGATAAAGCAGGCACCTGTCAGCTCACATGGGTACTTTACTTTAAAAAGTTCAGATGTGAGGAAGCTTACATATAAAAAGCTGTAGCTTCCATGACATTTTAGCTATAACATGGGATTTAAACATTGTCTCATCAATTACTGAAGTCAGATTGGTATATGTCAATGGAAGTGTTAGAATGATAACTAATTTTTCTCAAAATTGCATCATGTTATGTTTCTGCTCAAACTTGTTCTGAGACTTCCCATCTCATCTGGAATACAACCTCTCAACTTTCTCCAAGGCTACCGGACACATACTTGGCTTCTTGTTCAATTCCTTCCCTTGAGGCCTCCAGCTCACTGCCTCCAACCAAGCTGGCTCTCATGCTGTTTCCCTGATGAAAACCAACATCTCTGCTCCAGACATTGGTCCTCCATTTCTGTTCCCTGATTGTTCTCCCATTTAGTGCCATTTGCTAGATTCTTTAGGACTTTAAAGTTCCCCCGTGCCTCATTGATCTCCTGGAAAAGGTCTTCCCTGATTGATCATATTAAAATAATTCTTCCCTTCTGTCACTGCCACCACCTGACACATTAGGTGTATAGATACATATTTACTTGTGTGTGTGTGTGTGTTTTTATTCCACCACCAGAATGTTGGCTCTTTGAAAGTTCTGGTTATATTTTGTCCCATTCTGATAAACTAGATACCTAACACTGAATCACTTCCTAAAATATAGGGGAAGGTTACATCAAAAAGTCCATGAAAAATTAAATTAAAAGGTAAGTTTATTTGGTACAAAAAAATCTTGTCATCCATGCATAGTTTTGTCAAAATGTACACATTCACTTTTAAAATGGTTTTTGTATAAATTTCTTATTAGCAATTATATATGACTAGTAAGCAAGTAATTTATAAGACTGCTTTCAATGTCAGTTCAATAACACAGTAGCAACCAATGGGGAAAATATCACAAATTCTGGGTGTTTGAAACTTGCTTCTCCTAGTCAATGTTTATCCTTGGATTTGTCTTTATTTCTTTTTATATTGTGTATCCTTATCCAAATGTTGATGGTATTAATAGATTCTGAGAAAACATGGAGATAATAAGATTGTCAGATTCTTTTGATAATTTGCTTGTTTATCCTTTTTCGAGGCAGATTAGAGAGACTCTACCCAGTGCTTTTAAATAAGTCTCCTGAAGGACATTATAGAGATTAAAAATAATTAATTGTTGTGACTAGTAACACTTTGATTTCCGGCACCCAAGCAGTTGGATAAGCCTTTGCTGTTTTCTGTAGTCTAGCAAGGCAGTGCACAGCCTGGCTTCAGATGGGACGTCTGTCTTTCTGTCCTGCCTCCCCATCCTCCTCTCTTCTCTGCTACCCTCCCCACCTCTGCACTCCCCTTACTTTACTCTGTCTTACCTAATCTACCTTACTTTACCCTGCTTTCTTCTACCTCCATCCTGAGAAAAGAGTAAAAACAGATTCTCAGTCTTGAATTTTGATGTGAATTTGCAGTTGTTCTCCAATGATGTAGCCTTTAGACATCAGAGCAGGAAAATGCAGCAGCTTCTTCAAGGAAAAAGCAAATTGACAAACTTCAAACTTACTGCTTTCACTCACATTTGAGGAAGAATTGGCATGAGGTATTGATACAGGAGTTCGTAAGTACTATCAGTCATCTTACAGATGAGGAAGCTGGGCCCAAGAAGAGTAAGTGAATTGGCTAATGTAACTAGTAAGTCACCAGGCTGAAGATGAGCAGTCATTTGACATTGCTTGTTTATAACTAACTTGCTGGCTCCATCTGCTTTCCTTCCAAGGCCAACTGCAAGCAAATGCTTACTGTGAGAACCCAGATATAGTATTAATTGGCAACAAGGCAGACCTGCCAGACCAGAGGGAAGTTAATGAACGGCAAGCCCGGGACTTGGCTGAGAAATACGGGTAAGTCAACTGCACTGAGAACCATGTGACTTTGGGCAATGATACTCAAGCAATAGAGCCAAACACAGACTGATTTCAGGAGGAATCCCCTTGAACCAAGAACTGCGTATGAATTAACAAGATCTTAAATAGGAATATATATGGTGCTTTCAGAAAACACTTTTTTGTTTTTACCTAACATTTACAGAACACTTGTATGTTACCAACTGTTCGTAGAATTGAGCTCATTTAACCTCTTATAACTGTCTGGGGTGGGAGGAAGCAACCATGAAGGATTTTATATATGAAGAATTGATTTACAAAGACATTAAGTAAGTGATGGAAGGCCTCAATGTGTGAACAGCAGAACTTAAATTCAATCCAATTCAATTCAATTCAATCTAAGATCAGCACCCAGGCCATTAAACACTATACTCAATTCAAAACTCTGAGAAATAGTTCCTCACATGGATGTAATAATGCAATCCTTATCCAGCTGAGCTTCAGCAACAGCTGAAGGAAACCCACACCAAGCCACAAAAGCCCATGTAATTACGATTTGGTTTCCACAGAACAATCTGTCATTATTTTTTTTAGGTTAGAGCAGTTTTATATCTGCCAGTGTTTCACTGACTCATCCTGCTTGAAAGCTTTGGGTTTCACATCTCTCCCTAGAACTTTTAATTCTAAAATAGGTGTAAACCATTCATGTGAATATCCCATTTCATGCACTCTCTCAATGCTGAATGAGATTTCTAGATGATTCTAAGGAAAGTAGTATTTTATTTGCAGAATTACTTCTAGGCATTTTTAACTTTTTAAAACATATATGTATAGTTCAAATTTCAAGTAACAGTTTTATGTTGTCCAAATTTCTACTTCCTGTTTCCCACAGTATTTTATGGGGAGAAGTGCTTGTAAATCCACTAAAGGGCAGCTCACCATTTTCTACTTGCTGAGAAAAAGAGAGGCTATGTTTCCACTGAGGCAGCAAAAGCAAGAGTATTTCACAGTCTCTTCAGTCAGCACGTGTGATTCCTTTGTACATCTTGTTGGATCGTCTCTGGTTTCTTCCTCTCATCAGTATTGTCTGTTTTTTTTTTTTTCTATGCTAGCATACCATATTTTGAAACAAGTGCAGCAACTGGACAGAATGTGGAGAAAGCTGTAGAAACCCTTCTGGACTTGATCATGAAGCGAATGGAGCAGTGTGTGGAGAAGACACAAATTTCTGACACTGTTAATGGCGGAAATTCTGGAAAGCTTGATCGGGAAAAGCCGACAGAGAAGAAATGTGCCTGCTAGACTCTGAGGAGGAACTGATGGTCATGAGCCCTACCCAAATATCACTTCCAAATACAACAGCAGACCACAAAATCGTTGTTGAGTAGATCATCAACAACGCCATTTCTTTCTTTCTCTGCTACAAAATCTATTTTAAGAGGTCAGAATAGTCAGCAGTGCTCAGAAGAATTGACTAGTTATCCTTGAGGCCCCTCAAAACAAAACATTTGCTAAGGTGACCTCACCATCATGGAAACGCCATCTGTTTTTCTTATAAAGAAGATAAGCATATAAGAGAGAAATATCAATGAGTTTTGCTTAAATTAGAACAAAAGTGACCTTGTCACATTGGAGAAGGGAGAATATAATTTTTTTTTGAGATAGGCTTTATTTCTTTTCTAGAATCGGATTATTATGTTTTAGATTTGCATTGAGCAAAAACACGTTAGCAGATTTGGAAAAGAATAAATGAAGAGTTTCGTGAGGGTTGTTAAGAATAGCGTACGTGGATGCACCCAATAACTGCACTGGAATGACTGGATTGCTGATTTGTTATGAGTGGGTGAATGTCACTTCTGCCAAAATGTATCAAATTGTGTATTAATGCCATTTTTATACTCTTAATACATGGCATTTAGACAAGAACAGGGCTGTGAATGACAAAATACAAGACAAATGCTCTAGAGGAGAAAAAATTGAAAGAATAGGAACATGGCATTTGGACAGCTGAAACTAGATATCTCTATTACATATGTCTAGAAGAGTTGGTGAGCCGAATTTCATCCCAACCAATTAGAAATTGACATTATCAGTTGAGATTAAGAGACTCTCCAGGGGTTTACATTTCAAACAAAATTTAAGGAATCGGCTTGGGTGCTGTCCAGCTTTGCATTTCATTTTTTTTTTTAAACCAAATTTTGAGAAGCAGTCACAAGAAGAACTCTTTTGAAAATACAGTCAAGAAAAATTATTTAGCACAATGAGTTTTAAGCTGAAAATGCAGTTGATATGAAACAAACTATTAAGAGTTTTATTTTTGTTTACAAAAGTACTTAGAAACCCTAACACATTTCTTTTCTCCAACCTACACTCACATCTAGCTTTGAATCAGTGTGTTTCATTTTGTAGATGAACAACTTCACAAAAACAATTTATCAGTTCCACCCTCGTTTTGGATTTTGATATCATCAATAATACAAAATTGATAATACCTCATTCTATACTGTAATATGCCTACCTGAAGGGCATTTCCCCAAGGTGAAAAGGGCAAGAATCAGTATTGATACAGGGGTTCATAAGTACTATCAGACATCTTACAGATGAGGAAGCCGGGCCCAAGAGGAGTGAGTGTAAGTAGTAAGTAAGAGGAGGCTAATGTAAGTAGTAAGCCACCAAGCTGAAGATGAACAGTCAGATTAGCAGTCAGGAGTAAGAGCAGTCATTTGACATTGCTTGTTTATAACTTGCTGGTTCCATTTGCTTTCTTTCCAAGGCCAACTGCAAGCAAATACTTACAGTTAAATTGTATTTGGAAGTTAAATGGGAAGACAAAATATCTCACCAAAATTTTGGCCAATGACTTGATTTTTCACACAAAGCTACCTTTTCTTCTAAACATTATCACACATATATTTTCCATTGACCTTATCTTACTGTTGTGTTTAAACTAGTATGGCATTTTTAAAATCTTAGTTTCTGATACATACAAGTCATTCCTATCAAAATGTTTAAATGCATCAGTCAGTTTTATCAATAACACATGCATTTTAGTTTCTTTTTTCAATAAATATATTGTTTTTGATACAATGTCTGCTTTTCTCATAAACCTTTCCCAAGTTAATATTCTGTTCTCTGCATACATTTTATGTTGTAAACATGAGAAACTCTAAAATCCCAATCTCCTCTTCAACCTTCCCATACAATCTTCTTTTACTGTTGAATCAATTTCAGAAACACAGAGAGATCCTAAGGAATATCTGTTTACAGTTCTTAGCATGGAGTAAATTCAGAAATGTGCCAAGCGTCAAAGCAGTTTGGAAGTTTTGATAAAATTAGCCCCCGGTGAATTGATCAGTGTTCACCGTCCAGCTCCTCCAGTCGGTGGTAGCAGGTGTTCCAGCCATACCACCCAGGCGTGTTTTCTTTGGGTTGCCCCCTTTGACCTCAATGCCTGTGCCATGAAGACACAATATTATTGACTAATATGTATGATGATGATTCTTAAAGGAAAGTGAAAACAAATATGTCCATTTCTGGGGTGAACTTTGGTAAACTTAGGTGGACATTCTATCAAGCTCTTCTTCAGACTCAAATTGTGATATCCTCAGAATTTCCATAATAGTGAATGCTGAGGCTTTGTAAAGCCCTAGAGGTATTCTGTTTTGACATGTCTTTGCTTGCATTTAGTTCCGAACTATGGGACTGATTTACCAATGCCAGGATTCTGTCACTGTCAGTTATTTAATGAATATTTTTTCAGGATTTATTTTAAGACTGTTGATGACTGCAGTGTGAAACAGAGGGTGGTGATGCACATAATTATGAAATTTTTCCTGTAAAATAATAAGTAACAATATCAAGAATGGAATTTAAACTGAAAGCAGATATTAAAATACTATTATAAATACTTGATCTAAAAATATTTTCCTATAAAATCTGACATCTGACCCCAAACTACATAAAACCATTACTAGAATTACTAGAATTTCCTTCTTTGATTGTATTCCAGGTTTTCTAGTTCTATGTAATTCATTTTACAATTCAAATGGATCTGTTGCCATGAGTATACTGGCTGCGTTAAGTTCCATATTCCTTGTCTCTAAACTGCATGGATCTTTAGCCAAGATGTGCCCTGTTACTGAATATCTCCTGAATATTTTAGTAAATTCTCTTTAAGAGATGCGAAACTCCTTTCCGTTATGTGAACTGTTTCTGTAGTGTTTCTGTAGGTTTGATGTTTACATTTCTCTAACTCGGTGCCTCAGAAATCCCTGTGACCAAATCTGTCTCTAACCCCATATCTCATCTCCCCTAATTGTGTGCTACAGAAAGATGATTGTATGATTATAGGAATCCTCCCAAGATTCACAGAGACATTAACACGGCTAAAGGTCTTATAGAATCTTCAGAAAAGGATGCAAGGACTTCATTGCAATCTGGAGATTCTCGTCATGTTTTTCCTTGTTCCCCTAACTGATGGAGCTGGCTTTACTCCAGACTCTTACATGTGACTAGCGCTCAGGTCAATGAAGGACCCTTTTAAAATGTGTCTAAAGTAGTCCAAAGAAAATGTTTGTCTTTGATGATGGCAACAAGGCATGAATTAGAGAAAATGCTGGATGCTAAGGAGTTGAGCTTGTCTGTCCATAAGAATTTAAAAACGTGAGTAAGTTACACTCTAGCCAATTTGCTCTCATTGCCATTTTATCATTGCTAAAAACTCAAAACCAGCACTTTCTAGAGTAAATATTTTACTGGATATTTTTTAACCAGATGGACCAGTCTACTTATCAATGGATGTCTTTATTTTGCTTCTGCTGTAAATTGTCCTTTGCCAATCTGTGCAAGCAGGTTGAACTGGGAAACAGTTTTAACCAAGCCTCCCTTGCTCTATCTATAAGAGAGGGAAGCTTGATCAGAAAGACATGAGTACATTAAAAATTAATTTAACAGCCATCACAATACAATGTTCTTTCAGCTATACATTGCATCCACAGGAGATGAATAAATTAGAGGAAGCCCATCATTCTTCTCACCAATGGAGTAAGGAGAGCAGTTAGAGAAAAACTAGGCACTTTGTGTCACTGGAAACGTGTGACTATGAAATAAGCTCTCCATCACTTAGGATTCATGGGACAGGTGTTTAGCTTGGTAGTTAAGATGCCTGTTTCCCACTTTGGAATAACTGCGTTCTATACCTGTCTCTGCTCTTGACCCAGCTCCCTAGCTGTTGCAGGCACCTGGGGTGGGAACCAGCAGATGGGAATACATACATATATATTTATTGGCCTCTCAAATAAGAATGTTTAAATGACACACATAATTTGCCAGTTACATATCATGCCATAAGTTTAAGGAAAAATCCTCCTCTATGAAAGAGTTTGGAAGTTTAGTAGACATTCAATGAATAAAGAAATGATGTTACAAATCTCTGGTCTCGTAGGATGTGAAATAGCTCCTTGAAAGAAAAATCTGAGAGGTGATGCTAGCCAAAGTTACAGCAGAGCTGTCTTTGCCACTCTAATTACCAAACATGATGACATTAAAATAAAATGAATGTAGCTGAATATTGTAGAGAAAACTTTTATCATTTTTAATGATACAAAATTCTGTCTATATTTGAAAAACTTACCATAATGTATATACTTTTTCTTGATCTTTGACCAAGATCAAACAACCTTTGTTTTCCCCCTCTGGGTACAGTGAGAGTCCTTGAACATGATAATAAGTATAGAATATTATCTGAGTATTATCTCAATGCTTTCTAAAATCATGAAGCTTCTTAAAGTAGAATGGATAAAAAATTTTTTGGATAAATAAGCAATTTTATATAACTCATTGCCTCAGCATTCCTGGTTACAGGTTCAAATCACAATGATGTTGGCCAAGAAATACACATTATAGTTAAAAATTGTATAAGTTTTGCTCTTAAATCCAGAGAGATATTTAGAAGGCCATACCTAAAAGGTTGATTTTCAGGTAGATTTTTGTAAAGGTTGGTAGCAGAAACAATTATGTAACTAGATCTGTCACAAATGTTTATTCATTATTTTTATTCATAGAGGCTTATGCCCTTAGAACTAAGCTAATAAAAGTACTTAAACATTAAGTATTTCATTGTGAGTATAAAAATCTGGGAAACTTGGAAACATTAATTACAGTTAGTCCAATTCTCTCATAAAGTTCATTTTGATTAATTTTTCAATAAGGACAAAGATGCCTTTCTGTAATGTCCTTTCTATCAACCATCTATGGTTGAGATATTTTCCAACTCTATTTAGGGAGAGAGGAGAACTAACTAAAAGTAAGCAAAACTCTTAGCATCAAAGTAGTGAGTCAATATTTAGGGGAGTCATTTTGAGGGAAAGATACACTAAAGGATCATCTTTGGATTTAGTGGTTTAAATTTGGCTTGCTGATTCCTTTCCTTCCCAAGATGTCATGGAAATGTGGCTAACATTCCTGAGCTGATCCAGTTTTTAATGATTCCTAACAAATTCTATAGAAGCTGGCACATCTCACCTTAATCTAATGGATCTCTTGCTGTTCCAATGTCTGTTGGCATGTCAAAATA